AAATGCACCATGTCCTTTGAACAGACAAGACCAAAGTGGAGATGTCTGGCCATAATGCACAGCACCACGTTTGGTGAAAACCAAGCACAGCATGTCAGCATGAACACCTCATACCAGCTGTCAAGCACAGTGGTGGACGGGTAATGATTTGGGTTTGTTTTGCAGCCATGGGACTCCTTTATATACCCACATATTGTGAAGTCAAATGTGACAAAATCTCTCTGATAGCTAAAGCTTGGCCAAAGTTGAGTCATGCAACAGCACAATCATCCCAAGCACACCAGCAAATCTACATGAGAATGGCTGCAAGAGAAAAGAAGTGTTGCAAATACCTAGTCAAAGTCCAGACTTTAACCTGATTGAAATGCTTTGGCAGGACCTTAAGAGAGCTGTGCATAAATTAATGCCTGCAAATCTCAATGAACTGAACCAATGTTGTAAAGGAGAGTGAGCCAAAATTCCTTCACAATGATGCAAGAGACAGATAAAGTCATACAAAAAATGATTGCTGCTGCTAAAGCTGGTTCTACAAGCTATTGAATCATGGGGTGTACTTTGTTTTTTACATATGTCCTCCATTTTGGCTTCATTTTTGTTAAATATATGATGACACAGTGGAATCTGTTGTGTGTTTCACACTTGAGGTTAGATTTAAATAATTTTAGAACCGGGTAAGGACCAGATCTTTTATTTCCTGATACGTAAAACCATAGAACTGAAAGAGGGTGTACTTTGTTTTCCCCAAGACTGTATATCTACTTAGTGATTTAAGCAAATTAGAGCAGGATAAACCTGGCTTTTAATCATTGCAACCTTGCAAAGTTATATGAATGTTTAATATTAAACAAGTTGCCAAATTATCTATTTTAGGGCACATTCACACTGCATTGGAAATACCATACTTGTCACGATCAGCTCCGAACGATCCTCGTGTGTGCCACGCCCCCTCATTACCTCATGTCAATTCCTGATTGTTCCCACCTGTGTCTAGTTAATTCCAGCCTGTCCTGTGCACTTAGTCCGCGTCTCAGCGGCTCAGCAGCTACAGCGGGATCTTAATTTAATTAGTGACTGGGCCGACACCTGGCAGATGAAATTTAACATAGACAAATGTAAGGTACTCCATGTAGGGAGCAGAAATATAAAGTACAGGTATTTTATGGGACCTACTGAAATAAAGGTAGCTGATTATGAGAAAGACCTTGGTGTGTATGTTGATGCTTCCATGTCTCATTCTCGCTAGTGCGGGGAAGCAATAAAAAAGGCCAATAGGATGTTGGGGTATATCTCCAGGTGTGTGGAGTTTAAGTCAAGGGAGGTAATGCTAAGATTATACAATTCCTTGGTGAGACCTCACCTAGAATATTGTGTGCAGGTTTGGTCACCATATCTTAAAAAGGACATTGCGGCCTTAGAAAAGGTGCAGTGTAGGGCCACAAGAATGATTCCTGGTCTTAGAGGAATATCATACGAGGAAAGGTTAGTTGAGCTAAATCTGTTCAGCCTCAAGCAAAGGAGACTGAGGGGGGACATGATCCAGGTCTATAAGATTCTAACAGGTTTGGATGCTGTTCAACCGAATAGTTACTTCAGCATTAGTTCAAATACAAGAACTCGTGGCCATAGGTGGAAATTAGCGGGAGAACATTTCAAACTGGATTTAAGGAAGCACTTCTTTACACAGCGTGTAGTCAGAGTATGGAATAGTCTTCCTGATAACGTAGTGCAAGCTGAATCCTTGGGTTCCTTTAAATCAGAGCTAGATAAGATTTTAACAACTCTGAGCTATTAGTTAAGTTCTCCCCAAGCGATCTCGATGGGCCGAATGGCCTCCTCTCGTTTGTATAGTTCTTATGTTCTTATGTCCGAGTCCAGTCCCGGCAGATCTGTCATTGACATTTGTGGAAGTCTGTGCCCTGTCTGTCCGTCTGCCCTCAATAAATCCCTTTGCCTTGGATTTACATCTCCTGGACTCTACTTCCCTATGCCCTGCTCGTTCGCCCTTCTCCCGATTCACAACAGAATGACAGATCTCCACGAAGACGCATCGCAGCAGGACGAGAACCTCTGGCTCGTCCTGCTGCATGAGACTGCGTATTGGAGAGAGCAGCCCGAGGTCCAAGAGGACCCCGACTTATCCGCCCTCGCCGGACAGAGCTGGAGCCTCTTGCAAGAGGTTACCCCACGCACCGAGGAGCACGTAATGGTGGAAGCGCGCTCCCTTCTGCAACAACTAGGCGACCGCGTAAGAGAGCGGCAGCTCCAGCCTACAGCTGTCCCAACGGCAACTCCGCCTCCACCTACCTGTCCCGGTCGGAGACGGAAGAAAAGGCACAGGAGAAAAGAGGAAGTGGACCCGATCTTCCTGGGAGCCTGTTCCTTGCTCCCCGCCTGGGAGGACGCCGCTGAAGCCGGTAAGCCTCACGGTGATGAGAAGCCGCTCCCAATGGAGACATACTACTACCGGCCGGCGCCCCTGGACCAGGGAGGGATTTGCGCAGTAAGGGACGCTATTCCCCGGGTCCCTACAGCCCTTAAAGGGGCTGCGCCTGCTCGCCCGGCGCCCATCCTGGCACCCGTTCCGGATCTGCCCGTCGTTCCGAACCTGCTGCTGCTGCCGCCGCTCTGCCCGTGGCACTGCCCGCAGCACCGCCTGAGGTGCCCGCCGAGGCGCCCCCTGCTGGCCGCACGCCCGAGGTGCCCGCCGAGGCACCCCCTGCTGGCCACGTGTTGACGGCGCCCGACGAGGCACCCCCTGCTGGCCGCACGCCTGAGGTGCCCGCCGAGTCCCCCGTCCGTTCCTGTCTGGTCTCCCCTGTCTGCTCCTCCTCCCTTCGTCCTGCCTGTTTCTGCTCCTCGTCCCTCTGTTCCTCCTCCGTTCATTCCTGGCCCTTTCGTGTCACCTGTGGGTGTTCCCTCGGTGTCCCTCGGTGTCTCCCTGTCTGCGTTTCCTGTCCTGTGTCAGGTTTTGTTGTGGCTTTTGCCTCTGTGCCTGTTCTGTGTCTCTGTCTTGTTCCCGGTTCCCCTTTGATGTTCTGCTTTTGTTTTTCAGCTCCTGCCCCTCGTCTCGTCCGTCGGCTCCCCTCGGGCGTGCCCGGTGTGCGCGCCTTTGGGGGGGGTTCTGTCACGATCAGCTCCAAACGATCCTCGTTACCTCATGTCAATTCCTGATTGTTCCCACCTGTGTCTAGTTAATTCCAGCCTGTCCTGTGCACTTAGTCCGCGTCCGAGTCCAGTCCCGGCAGATCTGTCATTGACGTTTGTGGAAGTCTGTTCCCTTTCTGTCCGTCTGCCCTCAATAAATCCCTTTGCCTTGGATTTACGTCTCCTGGACTCTGCTTCCCTACGCCCTGCCTGTTCGCCCTTCTCCCGATTCACAACAATACTAAGGTACATAGATTTTCCTGCCATAATTCAAGACTGTATTTTTCAGTTTGAGTGTATACTTTGTATTTTGCAGGCTTGAAATATTGTCCTTGCACTTAAATTAACTGTGCACAAATCGACTCAGACTCTCAGACAAAACTTGCAAAGGGGTGGAAAATTTCCAGAAACTTTCCATTCCATAGGAAGTTAAGCTGGAGAATTTTGGAAGTATTCCAAGTTGGAAACTTTCCATGTGAATTAACAGGAATATGTGTGAATTAACTGGAAAATTCACAGAATTTTGCAACCCTAGTTCACACTCAGATATACTGTGCTCGCATAGCTCTGATGCTTGGCTAGCACACAGATTTTGGTATGGTCCCGCTTGGATTTTTCTCTGTAATGATGCTGCCAAAAATCCCAGCAAATATAAACGATAAAAAAATATACTGGAGTGACCAGATGTCCCGCTTCAACTGGGGCAGTCCTGATCTCAGGGTTTGCGTCCCAGTGTCCTGACATATATTTGAACTACAACAGTATGTCCAAGTTTTAACATGGTGCCCATATAAAAAGTTGTACAGCAAGCATAATTCAGTTGACACAGCATCAAACGAACTGCTAATTCATCCGATTCTGTTTTTTTTTTTATGGAACTTGAAATGAAAACCCATTTTCATTATGTGTCTAATTCCATTCCTCCACTCCATTGCCTTAAGCAAGCAACACATTACGAAGTAAAATTTTGGGACACACATTAAAAATAAAAAGTCACTCAAGTGCTGATTAAGAATAAAACAACTTACATACAAAATCATTCTGTATTCTGCACAAGTGTGTAAAATGATCTTTTCATTTTTATCCCCCTTGAGGATGTTCTTTACTCTTAGCTGCAAGTTTCCAATGGTTGACAAATTGAATATGGTACACAAACAGTAAGTAAAACCATTCACAGCGCGGTGATATGTGACTGGTTATATTTTAGTCTCACGGGCAAGTGAACTGTAAGTTTCACCAGTCACCGATAAGGCTTAACTGGAAGACAAGAATTAGCCCAGCAACACAATGCCATAATCCCATTACAGTACAATTGTTCAGATTATTATTAGAGTGGTTAGCGTACAGGATTTACATACGTGTGAATTATTAAGCTGTGAGAGTGAAACATCGAGGTAAAGAGAGAATGAATATTTCTGTTTATAATTTGGTTTAGTAATGGAGTTCCACTGTGACCTTAGATATTGCTTTCTGTATACTCATTCCACACACTAAACATTTTTTTTACAAGTTTCATATTGCATGCAAAATGACATAAATTTTATTAAAGTGTCAAAAAGGCTTCTGATGTCATTGTTTACATAATTAAAATGATTATATTTAACCGACAAAAAATAAAGGAAACTTTTAAAATTTGCACCAGAAATGGAAACTTGTGTAAATACAAATTTATGTTTTTTACTTTTACCAGAACAAAACCCATTAAGGGCCCATGTGGGCCTGAAGTGCATAAGTTTTCTGGCCTGCCAATTCAAATCCCATTTATTCTTACGTGGGCAATTTAAACCTATGTAGGTACCCCATGGACATGTTGGCTGGGTGACTGCCATATATATATATATATATATATATCTTACCTGACACATATATCTTGGATCCCCGCAGATGGGCATTGGTGTCATAGCGAGGAGTGGGCATGAGAGGGAGGACGGCCCACACATCTTTTTGAAGGTCATACTGCTGAAGGTGACTTTGGGGGAGGAGATCTGCTCCCATCCCACCCACAGCAAATGCTCTGCCATCTACAAAAAACACAGTTCACTCCCATTTGTACAAAGCATATAGCCATCCAATGTTCCAATTCGTGGTTTGAATTACCTTGTAGACATGTATTCTCGTGTTAACTATTTAGCATGTTTTATATGACATGGATGATTTGTAATTTTAGATGACATGTAAGGCCATATTTGAATCTAAACCTAGGATAAAGCATACCAAGGCAGAGAAATGTAATGATGAATAGACTGAATACAAGCATAGAACAAGGAATGATACAATCCACAATCATATTCCAAAATCCTAGGAAGCAACAATCCAATATCAGAATCAGCAGACAGAAACAGGTGACCTACAGTACATGGTGCTAAACTGGATGTTGGATCTGGATTCCACCGACACACAATGTATACAGACACAGCTTTTGTGTCTAATACCACTGGTTTCACATTTTATTGTGAAAGCAGTGGTATTAATTTGAGGCTGGTCTGCTCTTTGTTGCTGTAATAGCTGCTACTCTTTCCATTAGATGTTAAAACATTGCTAGTAGGATCTGCTGCATTCAAGTTGGATATATCTAGTTCCTTCTGTGAATTTGTGCAACTTGCACACAGATATTTCCACTTCACAACCACTTTATCCATCCATCCATCCATCCATCATCCACTACTTATCCGAGGTCGGGTCATGGGGCAGCAGTCTTTGCAGGGAAACCCAGACTTCCCTCTCCCTGGCCACTTCATCCAGCTCCTCCGAGGGAATCCTGAAGCGTTCCCTGGCAAGCCGAGAGACATAGTCTCTCCAGCATGTCCTGGATCTTCCCTGGGGCCTCCTCCCAGTGGGACATGCCTGGAACACCTTACCAGGGAGGTGTCCAGGAGGCATCCTAAGCAGATGCCCGAGCCACCTCATCTGGCTCCTCTCGATGCGGAGGAGCAGCAGCTCTACTCTGAGTCTCTCCCAAATGACTAAGCTCCTCACCCTATCTCTAAGAGAGAGCCCATCCACCCTGCGGAGGAAACTCATTTTCGCCACTTGTATTCACGATCTCGTTCTTTCAGTCATTACCCATAGCTCATGAGAGTAGCAATGTAGACGGACTGGTAAATTGAGAGCTTTGCCTTTTGGCTCAGTTCTTTCTTCACCCTGACAGACTAATGCAGTGCCCGCATCACTGCTGACGCCTCACCAATCCGCCTGTCGATCTCCTGTTCCATCCCTCCCTCACTCGTGAATAAGACCCCAAGATACTTAAACTCCTCCACTTGGGGAAGGACCCCATCCCTGACCCGGAGAGAGAATTCTACCCTTTTCCGGCTGAGGACCATGGTCTCGGATTTGGAGGTGCTGATTCTCATCCCGGCTGCGAACTGCTCTAGTGAGCGCCGAAGGTCACGGTCCGATGAAGCCCAGAACCACATCATCTGCAAAAAGCAGAGACCTAATCCTGAGGTCACCAAACTGGACACCCTCAACGCCCTGGCTGTGCCTAGAAATTCTGTCCATAAAAGCTATGAACAGAATCAGTGACAGAGGGCAGCCCTGGCAGAGTCCAACCCTCACCGGAAACGAGTCCGACTTACTGCCGACCATGCGGACCAAGCTCTGACACTGGTCATACAGGGACCAAACAGCCCTTATAAGGAAGCCCGGCACCCCATACTCCCAGAGCACTCCCCACAGGACTCCCTGAGGGACACGGTCGAATGCCTTCTCCAAGTCCACAAAGCACTATAGACTGGTTGGGCAAACTCCCATGAACCCTCCAAGACCCTGCTGAGAGTATAGAGCTGGTCCACTGTTCCACGACCAGGGTGAAAACCACACTGCTCCTTCTGAATCCGAGGTTCAACAATCCGACGGACCCTCCTCTCCAGGATCCCCAAATAGACCATACCAGGGAGGCTGAGGAGTGTGATCCCCCTAAGGTTGAAGCACACCCACCACCCCGGTCTGCCAGTCTACAGGCACTGCCCCCGATGGCTATGCGATGCTGCAGATGCGTGTCAACCAGGACAGCCATGCAGGATCCAGAGCCTTAAGGAACTCCGAGCGGATCTCATCCACACCCTAGGGCCCGGCCACTGAGGAGCTTTTTAAGCACCTCAGCAACCTCCGCCCCAGAGAGAGAGGAGTCCACCCCAAGTCCCCAGACTCTGCTTCCTCATTGGAAGGCGTGTCGGTGGGATTGAGGAGGTCTTCGAAGTATTTCCTCCACTGACCCAAAACGTCCCGAGTTGAGGTCAGCAGCGCCCCATCCCCACCATAAACAGTGTTGATGCTGCACTGCTTTCCCACCCTGATCTGCCGGATGGTGGACCAGAATCTCCTCGAAGCCGTCCGGAAGTCGTTCTCCATGGCCACGCCAAACTCCTCCTACACTCAAGTTTTTGCCTCAGCGACTGCCAAAACCGCATTCCACTTGGCCTGCTGGTACCTGTCAGCTGCCTCTGAAGTCCTACAGGCTAAAAAGGCCCGATAGGACTACTCCTTCAGCTTCACGGCATCCCTCACCACCAGTGTCCACCAGCGGGTTCGAGGATTGCCGCCACGACAGGCACCGACCACCTTACGGCCACAGCTCCGGTCAGCCGCCTCACAGTGGAGGCGCGGAATATGGTCCATTCGGACTCAATGTCCCCCGCCTCCCCTGGGATAATGGGAGAAGTTCTGCCGGAGGTAGGAGTTGAAACTCCTTCTGACAGGGGATTTAGCCAGACGTTCCTAGCAGATCCTCATGATACGCTTGGGCCTGCCAGGCTTGACTGGCTTCCTCCCCCACCAGCGGAGCCAATCCACCACCAGGCGGTGATCAGTTGACAGCTTTGCCCCTCTCTTCACCTGAGTGTCCGATACACACGACCACAAAGTCGATCATCGAACTGCGGCCTAGGGTTTGCGTTATGGACAATCCGTGACGAGCACAGAAGTCCAATAACAAAATACCGCTCAAGTTCAGATCGGGGGGGTCGTTCCTCCCAATCACACCACTACAGGTCTCACTGTCATTTCCCACATGAGCATTGAAGTCCCCCAGCAGAACAAGAGAGTCCCCAGGAGGACTGTTCTCCAACACCCCTTCCAAGGACTCCAAAAAGGGTGGGTATTCTGAACTGCCATTTGGCGCATAAGCGCAAACAACAGTCAGGACCCGTCCCCCCACCCGAAGGCGAAGGGAGGCTACCTTCTTGTCCACTGCGGTAAACCCCAATGTACAGGCACTCAGCCAGGGGTTGGATGAATGGAGGTGGACACCAGTAGTAAGGGAATTTGTCAGGCAGAAAAAAGTATGGAATATTATGAAGCATTGTATAACACTTAGTGAATGTAATCCTTAGGACATTCTGTAAAGATGTAACCTGCAGAATATAATGTAACCTTGTGACCTTCAGAGAATATAGACCAATTATTGCTGCACGATGTAACCAAAATAAGTATGAATAAGCATGTTACATGCAGAGCTTGTAGCTGCACTTGTTGTGTGTGTACGTGTGTTTCCCTGCAGCTCACAGACAGCCATGTGTTCCTCCGGTGGCCAATCATCGCACCTCGTTGCCAACATCTGCCTCCATCAGAAAATCGTTTGCCTCAAGGGATGATGTTATGAATCACTTAAAAGTTTTTTAAAAGTTTGCCTGGGAGCTACAGTGGGAGCGTGCAGATATTTGGGACTTTTAGCAAAACTGTTGTGCATGCTACTCAATGTTGTTTATGTTTGATACTTGCTGCCTTTCTTGGTGAGCTGCTACCTGCTACCCATGCTGCCTCTGAGGACTGGACAGGGAAGCTGGGGCGTGCCTATATGTCCCCTCACGTAGGTTGGTTCTATGTTTAGATACATCAAGTACGGGGCGGGCTCCACTTCCTGTATTTATGTTTGCTGGTCAGGTAAGACTTCTTACATTTGTTTTTTTAGAGTAGTGTTACACTTGTGTATTGCCAGCTTAGCGTAGAGGTACGTTTGGTTCTTTTATGTTCTTTCCTTTAGTGCCGTCCACAGTCCAGTCTGTTTTCATGTTATTTATTAATATTATAATATGTTAAATAAAAACTGTTTACTTAAGTGACCCATCTGTCTGCGTTGTGGGCGTTCACTCTTCCACTGTCAGTATAATTGTTACTGGCCATCCCTGTTAGCACCAGATTGGTAACCGGGAGTGCGTAACAAAGCACATTGTGTTAGTTTAGAAGTTTCTATACCTGTTAGCCTCATTCATTTGCCGAAATGAAAGATGAAACCCTATGATGGTGCCAAGTTGAAAGTTACTAACTTCTTCTGTACAAACACCAAGTCTGTTAATATTAATTGCAGCAGTTTACCAGGGTATGTGTTTAATTGTACTATTAAGATATGTCCCTGCCTTGTCCATCATCTCTCCGTTTAGCCAGCAGGTGTGCTAGCCATCCCTTCTTCTCCAATATTTTTTCTCCTCTTATGACTAGAATGTGTGTATTGTTTGTGTGTTTGTCTCTAGCTTTCTATGTGGATGTAATGTTGTAGGGTTTAGTTTCCGCTCATTTTTGCCTGTTTCAGTCCCCCTGCATCCCCCTGTGTTTAGTGTAATCAGTATTAAGTGTTCGTTTGCCTTTGGTTTAGACCTCTCATGGTCCATTTTGGTTTCTGCTTTTGCATAGTCCAGTTTAAAATAAAATCTGTCCTGTTGTCTACCACCCATGGATCATCACTTTTCCTTCACACCCCATCATAACATGTACATCTGTTTCAGCGATGGCTGTGGCATTAATAACCAATTCCTGTAATTAATAGGGGTGTCCACATAGCAGCACCCAACATCCAAAAATATTTTTCTCAGAGACATGGAGTTGGATGTTTTGAGTGTATGTGATAAAAGTCTCCTATGAGACAAGGATTTATATTGTTTCACTGAAGACTATTTCTGACTAGTATGTAGTAACCATATTAAAGGTCATAGAAAAAAAATTGAGAATCATATTTTATTAATTTACCAAGTATTCAGTGCTTGGTTTTATGCCTGAAAATTTTATGGACTTTTTTTTTATAAGACAAAAGGAAGTCAGCAGTGTTGATAAAAATGGCATATCAGTTCATTCAGGAATGGGACATTGGAACTAGTTTTTAAAGTCGGTGACAGCCCATAGTCCTATTCCGTTTTGCATTTTTACTTTTCGTTTTATGCTTTACTCTTAACACATACAAATACTGCTTCATCACTTTTTGTTTAATTGTTGCCTGTTGTTCACTGTTGATTTAGTGTAACTGGAGGCACACATCTACATGCTTGCTTCATAGCCACCTTTTTGTCTGGTTATTCTCGTGGCCAACCCATCAGCTTACCTGCCTGCCATCCCACTAGCTCACCAAACTTACCTGGATCAGCTTTTTATAGGTATGATTCAACATCATTGCCTGAATTAAAGTGTACGCTGTATGAAAAGGCAAACTCTTTGCTCTCTGGGTACAATTGCATACGTTTTTTCCCCTTCATAGGTTCTGTCACCTTCTTTTCTTTTTACAGCTTTTCACAACACAAATCAGCATGTAGATATGTTTTAGAGACTTCCTGCCTCCTGTGTATGACAAATATTGACAAAAAGTACAATTAATATTACAATTGTTCCATTAGAGACTTATTCTGTCAGGAGATCTGAAAATATGAGGCACACGCTCTGAGCACATGCAAGTTTGCCCAACTGACCTTTCACTATGATGGATATGCCCATTGCTGCTTCTCTCAGTGAACTTCTTTTCTTCCACCTTCCCTCTTCTGTGTTGTATATTTCCACTGTCTTCAGAGGGCACTGGTCTTTCCCAACACCCCCCACCACCAACAGCTGCTTCCCAAGGACAGCCACAGCAGCCCCTGCCCGAGGTGTGGGCATAGGGGGCAGATTGACCCATTGGTCTGTCTCAGGACAGTAGAGCTCCAGGGCACTTGTGGGGTGCCCAGTCTCATCATAGCCCCCCATCACATATAGCTGGCCCCTGGCCTCCACTAGAGTGTGATAAACACGCCCACTAGACAGCTGAGCCAGACTCTGCCAGTAGAACTCATGGGAGGCTGGAATTGCCATTCCTCAGGCACCACTATATGGGCACAATTAGACGACGTGAGTCAAAAGCCTGGAAATCACTTCTGGATAGTAGAATTGGTGATTTCAGAGTTGCAACAGCCCTGAAAAACAAGAAATCATTTGTTGTTTTTTAAACATTCTTTAAATAGTATGCAGATAGTTGGGCACCTGTAATCAAAATCCATGTTATGTTGATTTTCTAAGAGAACAGCAGTTAATAGAACATCTGCAGGGAACTTATCCATGACACATTTCATGAAATGAATGAGCAGCTACTGTTTCTTTGCAGACTGGAAAAAATCGATCTTGCAGAACAATCATTGCAAGCGTCGTTTTACATTCTTTGATTTAACAGCTGCGCCACAGGGTAGTGTGGGAGAATGAATCGATCACAGTATCCGTAGTGTCAGGACTGATGGACACCTTTGCGAAGGGGTTGTCAGTGGGGTTGTTGTCAGTGTTCTGTGCAGTTTTTTTTCCAATTGTGGTTCATCTTTGAAGTGTTTCTTTATAGTCCTTTATAGTTTCCTTTATAGTGATTTAAAGCGGGTTGTCCATGCTCGGAAACCAGCAAACCTGACTGAACTGGAGATGTTTTGTAAGGAAGAATGGTGCAAAATACCTTCATCCAGAATCCAGACTCTCATTGGAAGCTATAGGAAGCGTTTAGAGCAGCGGTCACTAACAGGCGGACCGCGGTCCGGGTACGGACCCAGAAGCTGTTCCATACGGACCCAGACCGACAGCCAAAACATTTAGTTATTATTTAAAACCTGACGGGGCGCTTTTATTTTAACTGCCGCAGCGTTTGTAGTCTTTTCGGTAGTGGTTTAGCAGTAGAACCGCCGTTTCCCACGCCAATGAACGTCAAACGCCTTTGACCGCCAAGCAAGACGTATAGTTCGGCGTATGCAGCCCTTTGTTTGCGCTAATGTGCCTTTCGTGTTAATAGCAGCAGTGAAGCTAACACCCGCAAACAAAAAGTGTAATGTTCCTAACAGTGGCTGCGCTCTCCTGAAATCGTAAAGCTGAAAAGTTTTCAAATACAATATGTATTATATAACACGTTGGATAAATAGACGTAGTTTAATGTTGATTCCATGTTCGTTGAAGTTTCTGCATTTTAACATATGTATAAAGTAATGTTATCTGTTATATAAATAAACTTATGTGAAACAAAAAATGTACGTTTTCAGGGTTGCCAAATCTCAAGCATCTGGCATTGTCAGGGATCTGGGCGGCTCGGGCACGGGAACGAGGCATGGTGCACGAAAAAGGGAGGACGACCCACTTGCGGCTCAAGGAACAGAAAAGGGGTTTATTACATAAAACAGAAAACACAACAAAACCAAAAGGACCACGAGGGGTCAAAAAACCAAAGGGAATAAACTAACACTACAAATACAATTAAACCAAACTGGGCAGGTAAACATACGACAGAGCTAACTTAGACAAGCAACAACACACCGGAACACATCATAGACAACAAACCACTAGAGAACAGAACAGAAGCAGGGACTTAAATACAGAAACCAAAACTGGGTAATAAGACTAACACAGGACAGGTGAAACTAATAAACTTAAAGGAACAAAACAGGGAAACTAAGAACTAATCAAGGAAACAGGGATACAGAAACCAACACTAGGGAATTTCAAACAGGGGCACAAGGAACAAAACCAAAATCAACTACAAAATCAGACACAAGAACTAAAGAAACTCAAATGAAACCTTAGGGAGCAAAATACAAAAACAGGAGGTGGGATTCAAACACAAGACAGAAGGGTACACAGACAACCACATGCTCAACACATTGAGCCACAAGACCAGACGTAACAGGGGAAAACAAAGACTAACATAAAGAACTCATGCTGGAAATCTTACAGCAAATCTATATTATTCCATTATAAAACCTAAAATTAGCTACGTCAAAAGTGTATTTACAAGGTTAAATACAAAAGCAGACTATTTACAAGGTAAGAACTGTTACATGTGTGCAGTCATCTTGAATTGAAAATCTCACTCCAGCCAGCTGGCGGAAGTTCTATGTCACCTGACAATAAATAATGTCAAAACGTTTTTGAATTGTACTGAATTAATTTGATTTGACAGTCAGGTACTGATTACATACAATGTTGATGCAACGAATAGGCTACTTAAATATATATCACACTATTAAATAGTTAGACATTATGATCTTCCGGACCTTTGCTTCAAGAATTTTTCTCTAACTGGACCTCTTTAAATTTTAGTTGAATACCCCTGGTTTAGAGGCTGTTATTTATGCAAAAGGAGGATCTACTAAATATTAATGTAATTTTTCTGTTGGGGTGCCCAAATTTATGCACCTGTCTAATAATAATTATTGCACACTTTCTGTAAATCCTATAAACTTCATTTCACTTCTGAAATATCACTGTGTTCGTCTGCTATATTATATATTTAACTGAAATTGCTGATCCAAACAACCAGTGATTCATAAAGGAAAAGCATGAAAATTATCAGGGGTGCCCAAACGTTTTCATACCACTGTAATGTAGCATGTGCAAAGCATATCTCGTTTGGGTTAATCTAAGTCATCCACACATCCAGAGCATAATAAATTCTCTGAGCATTTGAACCTTTCAGGGTTTATAGTCAACAACCATGGAGCATGTGTCACGCCCAGCTCCGTACGATCCTTGTGTGTGCCACGCCCCCTCATTACCTCGTGTCAATTCCTGGTTATGATCACCTGTGTCCTGTTATTTCTGGCTAGTCTTATGTATTTAGAGTATGTCTCGTGAGATCCGTCATTGTATTGTCTTGGTGTTCATGCCTGTCAACCCTCTGTCTATGAATAAACCCTGCTTTGTCCGTCTTCACGGCTCCGCTCACTTTCCCCGCAACCCTGACAGAATGACGGATCTCCGAGACAACTCACCGCAGCAAGCCGAAAGCCAGCGGATTGGCTTGGTGCAAGAGGTGATTTACTGGCTGTCCCAACCCGAGGTCCAGGAGGACCCCGTAGCCCGGGACTTGGCCAGCCGGAGCGGAGACCTCCTGAGTGAGGCACCCCCACCCGGAAACGAGTACCCCCTGCAGGAGGTACGCGAGAATCTGCGGCTGCTGATACAGCAAATTACAGACCGGAGAGCCCAGACAGTCGCGCTGTGCTGCGCTGGGGCTGCTGTACCGCCTCCTGTCACTACAATGACGGCTCAGCTTCCTTCCACCGCCACAAGCGGGAGGAAGAAGAAGAAGAGAGAGCAGAGACAGAAGGAGGACCTGACAATCCTCCTGGGAGCTGCCTCTCTCTCCCCAGCTTCTTCCCCTGCCAGTCATCAGAGGGAAGCCCTGATCGCCCCAGACATCACTGCCACCACGAAGGTACCTTTGCGGGCAGCTTCCCCCTTCCGGGGAACGCGGCTAGCCCTTAAAGGGGCCAGGGTCGTCTGGGATGCGATTCCCCGGATCCCCAAGGCCCTTAAAGGGGCAGCGCCTGCACGCCCGGCGCCGATCCTGGCGCCTATCTCGGACCTGCCTGCCCCGGACTTGCCAGCAGCACCGGCTGCTACTGCCGCCGCCCTGCCCGCAGCAACGCCTGCTACTGCCGCCGCCCTGCCCGCGGCAACGCCTGCTGCTACTGCCGCCGCACTGCCTGAGGCAATGTCTGTCCAGCCTGACCCGCCTGTCCTACCTGCGGTCGCTGCTGCTGCCGCCGCTATGCCCGCGGTGCCTGCTGCGGCGCCCCCTGCTGGCCGCACGCCCGAGGTGCCTGCTGAGGTGCCCGAGGTGCCTGCTGAGGTGCCCCCTGCTGGCCACGTGTCGGCGGCACCCCCTGCTGGCCGCACGCCCGAGGCGCCTGCCGAGGCGCCCCTTGCTGGCTGCACGTCCTCTCCTGTCCTGCCCGCGGCCCTGCCTGAGGCCGCCTTTCCCGTCCTGCCCGCAGCTCCGGCTGCACCGCCTGCTGCAGCTGGTCACATGTCGGCGGCGCCTGCTGAGGCGCCCCCTGCTGGCCACGTGTCGGTGGCGCTTGCTGAGGCGCCCCCTGCTTGCCACGTGTCGGCGGCGCTTGCTGAGGCGCCCCCTGCTGGCCACGTGTCGGCGGCGCCCCCTGCTAGCCGCATATCCGCGGCGCCCGCCGAGGCGCCCTCTGCTGGCCGCATGTCCGTGGCGCCCGCTGAGGCGCCCCCTGCTGGCCGCATGTCCACAGCACCTCCTGAGGCCCCCGCTCTTCCCGCGGCAGCGCCCGTCCAGCCCGGCTCTCCTGTCCTGCTCGTCCAGCCCGGCTCTCCTGTCCTGCCCGTCCAGCCTGCGGCTCTGGCTGCGGCCATGCCTGCTGCCTCACTGGAGGCCCTGACTCCAGTTCCCCAAGCCCTGGTCCCAGTCCCCGAGGAGGTCCCGGACAGACTAACCACCGCTCCTTCTTCCTTGGAGGAGGAGGAGCTCGAGTGGGACCCCTCAGGGACCTCCCTAATGACTCCTCTTCCCTCACCCCGGCGCAGTCAATCCCGACCGGAACCCTGCCTGTCGGTGTCCCGGAAAGGGAGAGGACATAGGCGCAGGGGTCGGGTCCCACCCGCCCTGCCCCCCGGCTCACCTGCGGTCCCCCGGGCTCCTGCTCGACGGTCACTTGCGGGTCCCCCGCCGTCGCTTCGTCGGCCACTTGTGGTCCCACCTCCGACGCCTCGTCGCTTGCCTGCGGGTCTCCCCGCTCTGGCTCGTCGGTGGACGGCGCCTCCGCCTGCTGTGGCTGTGCCGTCACCTGCTGCGGCTTCCCCTCCCTCCTTGCCTTCGCTGGTGCCCCCTCCAGCTTCCTTTTCTGCCCCATCGTTGTCCCATCTGGCTCCTGCCTCGCGGTGGCCCTCCGGCTTCGGCCGCTCAGTCGCCCGCGGCTCCTCCTGCTGCCGCCTTTCGCCCCCTGGGGTTCCCTTGGGCTCCCCTGGTTCCTCCTCCCTTTCTGCCTCCTGTCTCTGCTCCTCCTCCCTCTGTGTCTCCTCCGTTCCCTCCTCGTCCCTTGGTCCCTCCTGTCTCTGCTCCTCGTTCCCCCTCTGGTTCCTTCATTCACTCCTGGCCCTTTTGTTCTGCCTGTCGGTGTTCCCCCGGTGTCTCCCTTCCTGGTCTGTCTGTCCGCGTTCCCCGTCCTTTGTCGGGTTTTGTCTTGGTTTTTGCCCCTTTGCTTGTTTTGTGTTTCTGTTCTGTTCCCGGTCCCTCGTTGATGTTTTTGCTCTTGTTTTCCAGGTCCTGTCTCGTCCGTCGCCTCCCCTAAGGCGCCTTTGGGGGGGGGGATTCTGTCACGCCCAGCTCCGTATGATCCTTGTGTGTGCCACGCCCCCTAATTACCTCGTGTCAATTCCTGGTTGTGATCACCTGTGTCCTATTATTTCTGGCTAGTCTTATGTATTTAGTCCGTGTCTGAGTATGTCTCGTCAGATCCGTCATTGTAGTGTCAGTGGATGTCCATACCTGTCAACCCCCCATTGCAAATAAACCGTTTGCCCGACTTCACGACTCCGCTCACCTGCTTTCCGGCTCGCCCGCCCCGCGATTCCTGACAGCATGTAGCAAGGTAGTATTTATTTTGTAAAACTGCAAAACAGACTACAGTAAAATCCAGTTATAATGGACTTCAAGGGACCTGGCAAAACAGTCCGTTATATCCAAAGTCTGTTATATCCAGAGTTGCTGTATGCCCAGAACACAACTACAGGACATCGTTTGCTCATGCCACACTAGTGTTGTAGTCAAGACCGCCTAAACCGAG